CCAAAAAGGAAAAACGGGCGAGGGGGGGGAGTAGAGGTACGGGTACCTCTTCCTCATCTGATCTACAGCGTACCGGTACTCGGTGGACGCTGACACCCTACATCAAACGGTCGAGTCCAGAGCGGTGGCGTAGCCAGCGTGGCCTACGGGCTGCACGTCCTCCCGGTCTGACGCGACCTGCTGGCTCCAGAAGACCGTAGCCAGCTTCTGGCGGGCGTCTGCAGAGGTGCGGCCCAACGGGGCCACCGAGATGCCGTGCATCTGCTGATCACCGAGACGGAAATGGGCCACAGCCGTCATCTTACGAAGGTGGGCTGAAGAGGACTGCGCCGAGCGAGTGGCCACTCACCATCAGGAACGTGGTTCGGCAACGACGGCCACCTTGGGTGCCAGAGCCACTCCGTGGCGAGGCTGGAGAGGACGGGTCAGAAGTACAAGCCTCGGACGTCACCTCGCCGAGAGTACAAGCCTCGGACGTCACCATCAGGAACGTGGTTCGGCAACCACGGCCACCTTGGGTGCCAGAGCCACTCCGTGGCGAGGCTGGAGAGGACGGGTCAGAAGTACAAGCCCCGGACGTCACCTCGCCGAGAGCAGGCTGAGCCCCGAAGAGCGCCTGAGAGAGAGGCCCGACCTCGACTGCTTCTCCCCCCTCCTGCGTGCTCAGCCTCGTCACGAGGGAGAGGATGGACGGGGACTTCCGAAGGGACCCAGGGACACAGAAAGAAAGACACACGAATCCCAGGACTTCCCCGTATTCTACGGTATTTTGGGGGGTTGTTCGTCTCCCCCCCACTCCCCATAGTTTCCCATCTTTTCCCGGGAGTCGACGATTAGTTGTGTGTGTGTGTGATTCTTCCCCTCCTGAGCTTCCCCTGCCCTTCCCCCTCTCAAACGGACACGCGGGACCCCTGCGTGGACCGATGCGGAGATGGACTACATCATGAGCCAGCTGGAGCATCACGGGGACACGCTGGCGAGCTGGCAATGGGCCCGAGGCACGACGAAGGGGACGACGACACGGACGACCTGGTCAGGCACAGCATCCCGAGACCCCGCCGAAGGCGGGGAACGCCGAGCGCCAGCAGGGCGCCATCACACGAGGGCACAGAGGAGGACGTCACCGGTGATATCTCGATATTTCGGGGGAGGAGGAGGAGGAGGAGGAGGAGGAGGAGGAGGAGGAGGAGGAGGAGGAGGAGGAGGAGGAGGAGATATATATGAGGAGAAGCATGACGAGCCCGATGCCATCAGCTGCAGAGGTGGCACAACGAGGCAAGGGCCCGATGTCATCAGCTACGAGAGAGGCGCCACGACGCCGTGCGCCAGCAGGGCGCCACCACCCGGGGGGGGGGGGGGGGGCGCGCACCCCGCCCGCGGCGCGCCTGGCCCATGTGCGCGGGGCGGCTGCCGGACTCGGGGGCTCGCGGAGGCGCGCTGCGGCGCGAGGACCAGTTCGGTCGTCCTCGAGGGCGCCAGTCGAGCGAGCGAGGAGGAGGAGGAGTGAAAAAATATAATTAAAAAACAAAACAATAAATAAAAAATGGATGAGGATATGGAAGAGGAGGAGGAGGAATAGGAGGAAGAGGAGGAGGAAGAGGAGCAGCAGCAGGAGGAGAGGAGGAGGAGGAGGAGAAAGAGGAAGAGGGGGGGGGGAGGAGGAGGAGGAGGAGGAGGGGAGGAGGAGGAGGAGGAGGAGGAGGAGGAAGAGGAGGAGGAGGAGGAGGAGGAGAAGGAGGAGGAGGAGGAAGGAAGAGGAGAAGGAAGAGGAGGAGGAGGAGGAGGTGCAGAAGGAGGAGGAGGAGGAGGAGGTCGAGGAGGAGGAGGAGGAGGAGGAGGAGGAGGAAGAAGAAAAAGCGTGTGTCGGGCGCACACTGGCACGGGGTATGCATCCGCTGGTCTAGCCCGCGGGCGTCGGGTCCACAGATCGAGGAAGGCACCCCCCGAGACACGAGGCCAACGCCGCCCGATTTGGCGACGGAGCGCGCCGAGTCTGCTTGGAAACGAGACCCGTCGCTGATCCACGAGCCCTGATCCATGTTTGCGCTTCCCTGGGACAGCGGGGAACCGGCTCAGGGGGGAAGCGACGAGCTGGAATCGGTCATGCATCGCCGATACATCGGCGACAGGCCCCCGATGGCAAACCCGCCCGTTCCTGGGCGGGCGGCCTATCGGGAACCATCGGCGATGAATGGGCGATTGGGGGTCGATGCATGCCCCCCTCCTGAGCCTATCCCACCCCCCAATACCCTGCGCACAGGAGAAGGCCAAGAAGAGCAACGTCTCCCCCTCCGCCAGGAGGGCGACGCCCAGTACCGAGTGCGGTGGGCCACGCCCCCGCCTGCTCTGCGCGGCAGCTTCCTCCTCCGCCCCCCCCTTCACGACGAGGGGGTGGATGGGCCCTCGGGGGGGGAAGGGGCCACGGGCACGGGAGGGGGCGCGAAGGGGCCATGGCAGGAGGGAGCTGGCGACGAGGCAGGGAGGGGCCCGGGGCGGGAGCGGGCGGCCGCAGAGGAGGAGGAGGAGGAGGAGGAGGAGGAGGAGGAGGAGGAGGAGGAGGAGACGAGCGTAGGGGGAGGAGGAGGAGGAGGAGGAGGAGGAGGAGGAGGAGGAGGAGGAGGAGGAGGAGGAGAGGAGGAGGAGGAGGAGGAGCCACGGGGCGCTGGGGAGCCCGCCCCGGCGCGCGGGGAGCCCGGGGCGCGGCCCGCACGCGAGCAGAGGGCGCATCGCGGCGGTCCGGCGTCTCGTAGACGTCGTAGAGGCGCACGATGTGGGGGTGGCCCGCTCGCCGCCCGCCAGGGGGGGCAGGCCAGGCCGTGGGGCGTGGCCAGGCCGTGGGGCAGGCCAGGCCGTGGGGCGTGGCGTGAGCCAGGTGGGGCAGGCCAGGCCAGCCAGGTGGGGCAGGCCAGGCCGTGGGGCGCGGCGTGGGCCGGAGGCACCTCCTGGCGCACCCACGGCTCCCCCGCGCGAGCCGCCCGCACGCGGCGGCCCGCAGCGCACGAGGGGGTGGATCTGGGTCGGGCCTGTCCCCTATACAGGCGGATCTTGGGCGAAAAGTTAAAGATGCTCCAAAAATCCTCCCATATTTGATCAAAAAATACTCAGAAGAATCGTCCCCTGACTATTTTTCAACTTTTTAAACAAATATTCCTCCTATAGAGGGACACGACATGCCCGATTTGAGGGTTGATGACAGGTTCTGGCAAGCTCACATCGACACTTGCGCTCCCCCGAGCGCGCGCGCACGCGCGCCTGATTCCTACACGCGGTGCTCCAAATGGCGCACTCAAAAGCGAGGCGCCCACCAAGGGATTTGCGACTGCACGTCAGCCCGTCAGCACGTCAGCCTCGTCAGACCATGCAGAGCTCCGCCTTGCTGATGTTTGTTCCCGAGGGCTCAAATCAACACCATTCAGATGTAAACGGGTTGCCGTGACCCTGAAAACCGCCAACACACCAGCACCAGTGAAGGAGTAGAAGCGCAAGCCTCCATACGTGTCGCAGCTCGCAGAGTGGCTTGGCCCGACATGCAGCCACCGGGACAGCGGCACCATCAGCACCACGGCGAGCCAGCAGCACACACAGACAACCCTGCTCAGCAGACCAAACGTCGGAATACACGGGGAAGCGAGACTGCCTGACCATCCGAAGGTGAACCGTACTCGTCAGCATCGGCACTGCACGTGTCAAGGCATCGCGGCGCGCACCGCCGAACTGACGCACCAACAATCGTGCGCTTGGCCCGCTTACGCTGCTTTGTCTCGACTGCATGCCTGGAGATGTGTTCGAACCGTGATTTCATTGCGGCTGGAAGGTGAGGAGCAACGAAACGCGATCGATCAAATCGCACGTAGCTGGACTGAGGTTTGGCGATCCACGGTGCGGGCGGAGACGCTGAACCGCGGTCAGACAGTCAATGAGATCGCCGCACCGAGCCCGAACGATCGCTACGCCAGAACACCGTCCTCGACTCGTGGTCGGGAGCTGCGTCGCATCCAGATCATAGCAGCGCAGTCGCATGACTGTTCAAGAGAGAACGAGCAGTGAGGGACCCGGCGCGCTCGCTATCCGTTGGTTTTTTCCACAGTTCTGTCGAAGAGTCCGTTGTACCGACAGCCATCGGCGAACGGAGATGCTCAGGGAGAACGGTATAAAGTCAAGTCATCATGTGCGCGCCCGTACGTCCCCCTCGGCACTGTGCACTCGCTCATCGACGATGCGCAGCGCGCGTGCTGCCGGATGCTGCCTGCGCCCCCGTCGGTGAGCTGGCTGTGAGAGCAGAGCGGGTCTGACACTGAGCCTGGGAGGCAACTGCCTTCGGCGTGGTCGCTCACCCTCTGGGTCAGCCTCATCGGGCTAGCCTGGAACAGGCCGCCAGACACCCGCCCTCCCTCGGCTGCCGCTCTCTCTCTCTCTCGAGCCGCCCAGGCTCTGGCGACATCCAGCCGGTACATCGTGACAGTCGCGCTGTCGTTCTGCCGGTGCTTGCAGCATCAAGTTTCTTCTTGAACGTGGCACGGCGGCAACAAACAGCGCCTCGAGAAGGGGTAGCAGTGACCCCCTCGTCGCTGCGATGTAGGCCGCATCACAGGCACCGTGCTCGCCTTAGCCGGGCGCGGTCGCGGCAAACCTCTGAGAGCTCGAGTGGTTTCCTGATGGGAGTGGGAGAGATTCCTCCTGATTGCCAAATAATGTTAATACCAATAATAATAAACCAAACCTATAAAAACAACAACAACAACAACAACAACAACAACAACAACAACAACAACAACAACAACAACAACCACAACAACAACAACAACAACAACAACAACAACAACAACAACAACAACAACAACAACAACAACAACAACAACAACAACAACAATCACTTTACCCGAACGCTCAGTGTTCTCACCAGTGCCAGGGTTTTCATGCGACGCCAGCCAATACCCCCACTTTGTGGGGGGGCAGTGCAAGCTCTACCAAATATCCACACGACTCTTCGCCACCACCCACACCCAGCTTCCCGCCCTATGACGTTCGGACACTTCACTTCGTGGCCTGCGGACGACCGTGGCTACTACACTGGCGTGGAGTACACACCCACAGAAGTTGTTAGGACAGCGCGCGCGGGTAGAAATTTTGAAAAGTCGTGCAGGTGTTTTTCGAGGACCTACGGTGCGATTCGTGTGATTTTATGATGCGCGGTGCTAAAATTCTTAAGAAGCCCAATGGTTTTTGGAGATTTCGGCGTGCGCGCGCGAAGAAAAAACGAATGTGTCCCGCATGGTATTATTTGACAGGGATGATGGCCCTGGCAGGTGCGCAACCGTTGTCGCAGAAGTTCGAAAAAGTTGCTCGCAAAAGCCCGTTTGACAGAAATGTTTAAAAAGTGTTGGGTTTCCTACGAATCCGCAAGAGCGCGCGGGATGAGATTTTGACATTTTTTTGTTGAAAAACCATTAGTTTTTTTGATGTTTTTATGTTGAAATCGCTCCGAACACTAAGCTTTTGGAAGGATTTCGTCTTGCGCGCGCGAATGTCCACTTTACCTTATTTTTTGCAAGGGATTCTTGAAATTTGATTATATTAGAACAAGAAATGTCATTTTATAGTGTTTTTTGCAAGGGAAAGCGGGGGGGAACAAAACAACCGGATCTTGATCACATCGAATTACCTGAGGCTTCCTCACGAAAATGATGAAAATGTAGCTGCGGCCTAGGCGGCGCAGGGGGGCCGTGCACCAGGGGTCCCAACAATAATTATTCTTTAGAATTAATAATGTTCAACAACAACAACAAAAAGAAAAAAAACTTCCCTGCAATCCGACACCTCCCCGACGACGCAAAGACTTCGTACCTTCCAGTGGCTGTGGAGAGAGCGCAAGTAAACAATTGTATCAATCTAACTTGTCCGTAATCTAGATCTGACTTGCAAAATCACCACCACCGTGACAGAAATTCCAAAAGAATGTAAAGACGGGGAGTCGTTTTATACGACATGTCTGAAAGCGTTTTCTGAAATACACACAAAAAATATCCACTGTTTATTTAGACGTCATCCTATCAAACAGCGGCGCGTTGCCGCAAGGCGTCACGTATCCATGCTGAGGAAGATCTCTGCCTTCGGCAGAAAGGGGTAAACCAATGAATGTATGAAGGTAACGCTGAACTTCAATGCGATGCCACTGATACCCACCCTGAGATTCCATGCATGAGTCTTTCATCTCTCAACCGAAATTGGCAGCATCGGGACGCGCACGCGCGTTCGGATTGGCAAACCCACTGAACACAAACCGTAGCCCCCCGCGTAGGATATCGCAGCACTCATCCTTGCGTGTACTCAAGGCGCTTGACGTCCGATGGCAAGAGTATTCGAGTGGCAGGGACAACTGTACTAGCGCAAATGTAGGACGACGAGGGCATGCAATGGTGCTGTGAGCGCACGTAAACCTCGGAAAAGAAAGATGCGCGGAATTCGCCCACTCGGAAGCAAGCTAGAAGGAGCGGCAGGGCAAACTGCAGCAGACTATGCGACCACTCAATGCTACCAGCAAACACGGTCAAAGATCAATGCTCTAGCATTGTGCCATTGTGTTCCGGGCCATGCGATCTGACACGCTCGGGCGAGTTCGAATGCCCCTGGACTGCCTTCTCGGACCTGGCCAGCACGGGAACGGAAAGCAGCCTCCCATTGAAAGGACGCGAAAGATCGCCAGCTTGCCTTGCCTTCAGGCCCTCTTGGGGGCGTTGCTGGGTTCATCCTGAGGCAGTCATACCTGGGGAGCTCCAGAGCTGCCCCTGGGCTCTCCTGGGGTCTCTTGCGGCCAGCCTGGGATCCATTGGGGACTCGTGGGGCCGCTTTGGCATGTCAGAACTGCCGCCTGGAGGGGAACTTCAGGCAGTCTTGGCTCGGTCGGGGGCCGTCTTCGAGTCGTCTGGCTGCCGTCTTGGAGGCAATGCTGAGCTATAGTATAGTGGGCGCATTTGGGGCCCTCTTGGGGGCTCCTGTGGGCAGTTGGGGGCTCTTAGAAATGCTTGGGGCACGTCTCAAGGCCATGTGGAGCTAAAAGTCGGAAAGCGCCACAAACATACAAAACGAAAAGACATGAATGCTTTTCAAATCCCTGCGGCCCTGCACAGACCCATCTTAGAGAATCTTGGGGTCACCTTGGCACCATTTGGAGACGGGTGCCTTGGGCCGCGTTCAGCCAGCCAGCTCGGGCGCCTCCTGAACTCTCGGAAGCAATACGATGAGGGCATTGGAAAAGGAAACATTGGACAAGGAATTCAGGATCTGGAAGCCAGTGGACCTCCGATTGAGGCTAGGCCGGGTCTGAAGCCTCCTGGGCACATTCTTTAAACAACGCCCCCACCGTATTGGTAGCCTCAATGGCGTCCGCATGGCCTACCTCAGCGCCTCTGGATGTATCCTGAATCGGAAAAGCCGTCACCTTGGCCGACCTAGAGCATTCTAGATGCTAGACTCCTGCCCCGTAGCCAGCGGTGCTCATTTTGATTGCTCAATATAAAAATGTGTGTCCATATGTATATGGATTTGACTCTATGCACATGATCGTTAGCATTATCTCTCTGTACCTCTCTCTCTCTCTCTCCCACGCACCCTACTTACGTAATCGCGACGCCTAAATCAACAAGTCGCACGCTACACACGCTGTCCGTCATGATGGAGCGTTCCAGACACGACTCCCACCATCGCTGCAGCACGTCACCGAACATCACCCCCGTGCCTTTACACCCTGGGCGCCCTTCTCGGCAGTAAAACCAGCGAGGAGGCACCCCGAGACGACCATACCGAGGAGTTGGCGCCACTCGAAACGGATCGGGCAAGCCCCGGGGCTGCCCCGGCACACCTGGAGGGTGGCCACTCCAGGACGGTGCGCCTGCAAGGGAATTTTCGCCACGGCAGCGGCCACTCTACCAGAAGCAGCAGCAGAGGGGGAAGGGGCGGGTGATCGGGGGACGTCAGCTGACCACCTCACCGATCCTGGCCAAACCAATCCTGGGCCCAGGATCGGTGTGTACGCCCGCCTGGCTTGGCAAAGCGAGCGCATATCAATCCTTGGCAAGGCAGGCGTACACACTGATCCTGGCCCACAACCCTCTTCGAAATCAAACGCAAGTTGTAAAGTTGACCGACGTGCGAAACGCTGCCCGCAGGGGTCAGATGTTTATGCTTAGTCGCCAGCTTCGGCACGAATATCGAAAGGCTGGGGTCTTGGGGCGCCGCCACGTCGCAGGAAAAACTGGCGTCTGACGTCAGGGAGGGATGCAGCATCGGCCTGGCCAGGGTCGGTGAGGTGGCCAGCTGATGCCCCTTAGTATAAGTATATTGGGGTGTTGCCGACCCCAGGAGGTAGCACCGCCACCCGGCGCTGGCAGCATGGCGCTCAAGCCTGCGCGTGCCGGGCAGGCCTGAGCCGCTGCGGCCGGGTGGCAGGCGACGGGCAGCCGGCCCGCGCGCAGCCTGGACGCTGTGGAGAAGCGGGCAACGAGAAGCAAGAAAACTGTCCTCGAGACAAGCCCAACTGGTTCCCGATATCGGAGGCGAGCGAGGAAGGAAGTGAGGAGGAGGAGGAGGATGAGGAGGAGGAGGAGGAGTGGGCCTTAGAAGGCTCGGAAGACCCCTGGCCTCCTGGTAAGCTTTCTAAGCCTTCCCGGAGACAAGGAAAACCTCACGGAAGGCGCGAGGGCTTCTCAGAAGCCCCACCGCCTTCCGAGAGGGTCTTCTCCTTCTCACTTCTCCCCCTCGCCCGCCGCCGACAATAAGCACCAGTCGACCCGAAGACAGCATCTACAGGCTTCCTATAGACTCCCTGGGAGGCTTCTAGCACGCCACCAACATGAGCTTACTGGATGTGCATCTGTGTAGCCTTGCCCGAGGTCGCGCGGGCCGCGGGCCCGCGCGGGCCATTTGGAAGAATGGTCAAAAAACGGCATCAGAATCCCCCCGCCGGGCACTCGAAACAGGAAATTCGACGCCCCCCCGGGCCCAGGACGACCCCCAGAGGGGCTCCTCAGGGGAAGGGGAAGAGCCCCGGCGCCACGAGGACTGCCAGAGGCCCTCAAGTTGGCCCACCAGGGCCAGGATTCGCCGCAAGGTCGCCTGGAGGCCCCAAGATGGCATCCAGACATCTAAAGACGGCTCCAGACCGCCCGGAGAGGCCTCCAAGGGCACCTCTCGGAGGGGCTCAAAAACCAAAGATCGTCCCGTGCCCTCACGCATACATGCACAAACCACTTTAGCAGATTCGCCTCTCAACGTACGCTTTCACGGCATGGAAACCGACAGAGGCTTCCAAGACGGCTGCAAGAAGTTTCCCAACAGAACCCCAACTGGCATCCTACAGGCCCCTGACTCACACAACCCCAGGCTGAGTGGCGGGATGGGCCGACGGCAATTCGATGAAATTCCCCCTGGGTCCATATACGACGTTCACCCCGCGACGCGCTCGGTGTAAGCGCCCTACCCGCTATGAACGTGCCGTCCGCCTTATCAGATACACGCGAACGGAGAGGCAGAAGCCTGTCAAGCATCGCAGAGGCACGAAGCACACAGAACTGATCGAAGACGGGGGGAATCGCAGGAGGGAGCGAGGGAGGCATGAGAGCGCAGGCCTCGGTGGCCAGCTCCTGCTTCTTCTCCTTGGTGACGCCGGTCAGCCGGAAGGCCTGCCCACCACTCCACGCTTCGAGCTGGGGCAGCGAGAGCGCGCGAAGGGAGAGAACGGGCGGCGCGCACCCTCCCGAAGGGAGGGGGGAGGGGGGAGGGGGGAGGGGGGACGAGGGAGGGGGGAGCAGGAAGGAGGGAGGAGGGAGGAGGGCGGAGGGAGGAGGGAGGAGACGACGACGACGACGACGACGACGACGACGACGACGACGACGACGACGACGACGACGACGACGACGACGACGACGACGACGGGATTGTGGCTCGAAAGGCTTCTCGCGGCCACCCGCCTGGGGATCGGATGGGGGGGAGCAGCTCGGCATGGACAGCAGCCAGGGGTGGCTCCCCAGCCAGCAGAGCCGCACGGCAGCCCGCCCACACAGTCTTCTGTATCACGCGTGCGCAACCTCCCCGGCCCACTGCAGCCGCGAGAAGCCTTTCGGGCCACGAGATCCCTCCAAGCACCAGAAACTGCGCCGCCAGACCGTGTACGGGAGGAGCGGGCCTCACAAGAGACGACCTTGAGTCGGAAACACCACCGCGGTCCTCGCTGAACCCTGAAGCCGCTCCGTCCCAATGATACGGGCGCCTCGGCGAGGGGTGGCAATGTCCGAGGCGTGGCGAGTGCCTTCAGAAAAGGCTGGAAGTGTCGATGCGGCCAGGACTCATCCAGAGAAGGCCTGGGGGCATAGGAAAATCTCGAGGAGTCAGAGGCGTGCCGCAATGGCGCGCGTTCCTTTGATTAGGGTGCCTGTGTTCGACTTCGGCCCGGCCCCCTGTCTCCCTAATTAAAGCTGCGCGTAGCCCGCCTAGCTTTTAGCGGAAGAGGTTCGCTCTCGCCCCGCCGACCAAAAAAGTGTTCGACTTCGGCCCCCACCGCAACGAGGAGCGGATCGGCTCACATTGCCCCGAGAAGACGTTAGCCTGCCGAAGGATCCAACCGAGAACGAGTCCGCAGGGGACCTCCGACCTTCGCCTCGGGAATTCGACCTACACTGGCCTCGGCAATGCCGGATGCGCTTTCCAAAGGCTTCCGGCGGTGGCCCCTGGTGAAACGTATGGTCGAACGCCGGCACATGGAACTGTCGACTCTGACAGCTGCTCTTAGGGCGGGCGTGTCCCCCTACAGGCGGATTTTGGACGAAAACTAAAAAAAATACCCAAAACAAATGATCCTGGCGAAGGTCCCAACCATATGCAGTTGTGGGTACAGTAATTGTGAATATCTGCTTCGGTGACGGTGAAGCTCCCTATGGGGCCAAGAAGCGCTGCGCTGGGCGGGGGGGAACGCTGTACTGTCTAGGTGGTGTGCCGAATTGGATTTCCGGGACGCATGCGGACGGTCCCACTGAGGGCTTCGGTGGGGCTCCCCATGGGGCCACGGAGCGCTCTACTGAGTGAGTGAAAATGCCAAATTGGGTTTCCGGGACGCATGCGGACGGTCCCACTGGTGGCTTTGGTGGAGCCTCCTATGGGGCCACGAAACGCTGCACTGGGCGGGTGAAAATGCCAAATTACATTTCCCGGACGCACACGGACGGTGGCACTGGGGCCTTGGGTGGAGCCCCCTACAGGGCCACGAAACGCTGCACTTGGAGGGTGAAAATGCCAAATTGGGCTTCCGGGACGCATGCCGACGAAGGCACTGGGGCCTTCGGTGGAGCTCCCGATGGGGCCACGAAACGCTGTACAGGGTGTGCGGGACGCATGCGGACGGTAGCGCTGGGACCTTCGGTGGGGCTCCCTATGGGGCCACGAAGCGCTGTGCTGGGCGTGCGGGACGCATGCGGACGGTAGCACTGGGACCTTCGGTGGGGCTCCCTATGGGGCCACGAAACGCTGCACTGGGTGGGTGAAACGCAGGGAGGAGGGGGAGGAGGGCCACGAAACGCTGTACTGGGTGTGCGGGACGCATGCGGACGGTAGCACTGGGACCGTACGTGGAGCTCCCTCTGGGGCCACGAAACGCTGTACTGGGGGTGCGGGACGCATGCGGACGGTAGCACTGCGACCTTCGGTGGGGCTCCCCACGGGGCCACGAAACGCTGTACTGGGTGTGCGGGACGCATGCGGACGGTAGCACTGGGACCTTCGGTGGGGCTCCCTATGGGGCCACGAAACGCTGTGCTGGGTGAGTGGAACGCAGGGAGGGAGGGGAGGAGGGCCACGAAACCCTGTACTGGATGTGCAGGACGCATGCGGACGGTAGCACTGGGACCTTCGGTGGAGTTCTCTATGGGGCCACGAAACGCTGTACTGGATGTGCGGGACGCATGCGGACGGTAGAACTGGGACCTTCGGTGGAGCTCCCGATGGGGCCACGAAACGCTGTACTGGGTGTGGGACGCATGCGGACGGTAGCAGTGGGACCTTCGGTGGGGCTCCCTATGGGGCCACGAAACGCTGTACTGGGTGGGTGAAACGCAAGGAGGAGGGGGAGGAGGGCCACGAAACGCTGTACTGGGTGTGCGGGACGCATGCGGACGGTAGCACTGGGACCGTAGGTGGGGCTCCCTAATATGGGGCCACGAAACGCTGTACTGGGTGGATGAAACGCAAGGAGAAAGGGGAGGAGGGAGGAGGAGGGAGGAGTGGGAGGAGGAGGAGGAGGAGGAGGAGGAGAAGGAGGAGGAGGAGGAGAAGGAGGAGGAGGAGGAGGAGGAGAGGAGAGGAGAGGAGAACGCGGGGCGACGTCTCTTCAAAACGAGGACCCAACACCACTGGATGGTTGGGAGAAAAAGTCAATACTCAAAAAATCATCCCCAGACAATTTTTTGACTATTTTTTGAAATTCCTCCTGTAGAGGGACAGGTCCGACTTAAAGCTACTCCAGCTCGAAGCTCCTGGCTGTGATCACAAACAAGCCACTCGTGAGCAAGAGGCGCGAGGGCCTCGTTTCCTTCCCGAGATCCGCTCCTGCACCTGCACACTGACCGATGGGAAAACATGACTCACAGACTGAAGCCCAGAGCTCAGCCTCGAAACTACATGTCTAGGAGCATTGTCGAAGCGACGCCATGGACGTGTAGACAAAAAACTTTGTCCGACAGAGATCATGCTGCTGACTCGCTGACTCCTGAAAGTACCTGCTATCAAAGAAAAGGCACTCGATTGTGGAGCTCATGTAGGCCGTCTCAAACACCTTCGTGAGATGTCAGACGATGCTGGGTTGCATGTCGCATCGCCGGTGACGAATCAAGACGTTCCCAGGGTCGAGTTGAACATCAAAAAATGTAAGCCTATAAAGTTCACTGGCGATCGTTGCACTCCTGCCCTGGGCCGCTGCTGCCTTCACAGCGTACTTCTTGCCGGCCTTGTCAGTGGCTAGCATCACCGCACCGTTGTAGCCAGCGCCGAGCTGATGGTCCGCGACCGTGTAATCGTCCTCACGCCCGGCAAAAGGAGGAGAGAAGAGGACGAGGAACGCGCCCCAGCACGCACCCACGTGTCTGCAAATCTGCATACCGCAGGATGCGCATGTTTGATTCGAGTCCGCTGGCATGCTCCCTCTTGCACCACGTATCACCTCGGGGGGGTGCACTGGAACAAATGGTGTTTCCCAAATCCAGCCACAGAAGGCCCTCAACCTAGGTTGACCGAGCCCAAGCGCAAACCAGCTCGAGCTGCCCTCGTGGGGTCAGATTGTGCCGCGGCCATTGACATCCGACAAAGAAGCACGGGTAAACAACGACAGCCAGGAAAAATGAGCCTGGCGAACAACCCAACCATATGCAGTTGTGAGTACCGCGGTTGCGGGTATCGTTTTCGGTGGTGCTCCCTATGGGCCACGAAACACTGTACTGCGCGGGGGAACCACACGTGAACGGTTCCATTGGGCCTTAGGTGAAGCTCCCTATGGGGCCACGAAACGCTGTACTGGGCGCGGGAGACGCATGTGGACCCCGCAACTGGGCGCTCAGGTGGAGCTCCCGATGGGGCCACGAAGCGCTGTACTTGGTGGGAGAAACGCATGTGAACGGTTCCATTGGGGCCTTCGGTGGAGCTCCCTATGGGGCCACGAAACGCCGTGCTGGGCGGGGGAGACGCAGACGAGTGCAGCCATTGACGCCTTCGGTGGAGTTCCCTATGGGGCCACGAAACGCTGTACTGGGTGGGGGGAACGCACCTGGATTTCGCCACTGGGGCCTTCAGTGAAGCCCCCTTATGGAGCCACGAAACGCTGTACTGTGGGCGAAGGACCGCGCTATTGAGCCCTTCAGTGAAACACCCTACGGGGCCACGAGACGTTGTACTGGGCGGGGGAAACGCATGTGAACGGTTACATGGGGGCCGTAGGTGGAGCACCATGGGGCCACAAAACGCCGTGCTGGGTGGGGGAGACGCATGTGGGCACTGTCACTGGGGCGTTCGGTGGACCTACCTATGGGCCACGAAACGTTGCGCACGGCTGGAGAAACGCATGCGAACTTTCCCACCGGGGCCTTCGGTGAAGCTCCCTATGGGGCCACGAAACGCTGTACTGGGTGGGGAAGACGCATGTGGACGGTGCCATTGAAGCTTTCAGTTGCGCTCCCTATGGGGCCACGATATGCTGGGGCCACGAAGCGCTGTGCTGGGTGGGGGGAACGCATGTCGACACCGCCACTGGGGCCCTACTATGGGGCCACGAAAACAACGAAACGCCGTGCTGGGTGGGGGAGACGTATGTGGACACCGTCACTGGGGCCTCACGTGGGGCCCCCCATGGGGCCACGAAGCGCCGTGCTGAGTGTGGGGGAGACACATATGGGCACCGCCACTGGAGCCTCAGGTGAAGCTCGCGGTGGGGCCACGAAACGCTGTGCCAGGTGGGGGGAACTCCGAGACGCATGTGGACACCGCCACTGGAGCATTCGGTGATGTTCCCTATGGGGGCCACGGAACGCTGTACTGGGCGTGGGGGATGCATGTGGACCCCGCCACTGGGCGCGTAGGTGGAGCTCGATGTGGGGCCGCGAAACGCTGTGCTGGGTAGGGGAGACGCATGTGGACACCGCCACTGGGCCCTCAGGTGGAGCTCCCCATGGGGCCACGGAAGGCTGTGCTGGGTGTGGGAGACGCATGTAGGCACCACCACTGGGGGCGTCGGTAGAGCTCCCTGCTGGGCAACGAAACGCTGTGCTAGGTGGGCAGAGGCAGGGATGGGAGGAGGGAGGAGAGGGAGGAGGAGAAGGAGAAGAGAAGGAGACTGCGGGGCAGTGTCTCTTCAAATCGAAGACCCAACACCGCAGGATGGTTGGGAATAACAAACGCTCGGACACTAGGAAAGCAATTAGCCTGACGGAAAGCCAAACCACATGCACTTGTGAATACCGCAGTTGTGGGTATCGTTTTCCGTGAAAATCCCTGTACTGGGTGGGCAAAGCGCGAGCGAACTGCGCCACTGGGGCCATCGGTAGAGGTCCATGGGCCATGATGCGCTGTACTGGATGGGCAAGACGCATGCGGACTGCGCCACTGGGACCTTCGGTGGAGCCCCCTTCTGGGGCCACGAAGCGCTGTACTGGGTGGGGGAGACGCATACGAACTGCGCCACTGGGGCCTTAGTTGGAACTCCATGTGGCCGCGAAACGCTGTATTGGGTGGGGGACATGCACGCGAACTGCGCCACTAGGGCCTTAGGTGGAGCTCCCTAGGGGCCCACAGAACGATGTACTCGGTGTTGGAGACGCACACGAACTGCGCCACTGGGGCCTTAGGTGGAGCTCCTTATGAGGCCGCGAAACGTTGTACTGGGTGGGCGAAACGCATGCGAACTGCGCCACTGGGACTTCAGTTGGGCTCCCTACGGGGCCACGAATCGCTGTACTGGGTGGAGGGGGCGCAGGCGAACTACGCCACTGGGACCTTCGGTGGAGCTCCGGAGCTCCCGATGGGGCCACAAATCTCTGTACTGGGTCTGGGAGACGCATGCGAACTGCGCCACTACGACCTTCCCTGGAACTCCCTATGGGGCCACGAAACGCTGTGCTGGGCGGGGGAGACACATGAAAACTGCGCCACTGGGACCTTCGGTGGCGCTCCCCATGGGGCCACGCAATGTTGTACTTGGTGGGAGAGACGCAAGCGAACTGCGCTACTGGAACCTTCGGTGTAACCCCCTTTGGGACCACGAAATGCTGTACTGGGCGGGGGCGGCGCATGCGAACTGCGCCACTGGGACCCTGCGTGGAGCCCTCTCACGGGCCACGAAGCGCAGTGCTGGGTGATGATGATGATGACGACAACGACGAGGCCATGTGGAAGACAGAGGCAGGGACGGGAGGAGGGAGGAGGGGGAGGAGGAAGAGAGGAGAGGAGAGGAGGAGAGGAACGCGGGGACTGTCTCTTCAAAACGAGGACCCAACAACCGGTTGGTTGGAAAAAAACAAATAGAAGGAACAGGCAGAAGAGATTGCAGCTACTCATCTAAGACACGCAATCACCAAACACTCTGTCAAATAGCGGACAAAAACTACATCCGCTACTGCGCTTGCAGCGGTTGGCGCGTACCTGGCATTTAATAGTCGGTTGGTTTCACTTCTTGCGAAGCAAGAGTGAGGGCCTGCCGAAGTATCGAGCCCAATATGAAAGGATGTCCTCTACTTGGCTCGCCAATGGCGTTCCCATTCCTCTCCAACGAGCCTGGGACCCTAACCCCCGTGGGACCTCGCTTGCCAATGTCCTGCGCGCCGGTGACCATGGAGTTGCGCACGGGGCCGCGCAGGCGGGTTGCGCGACTGGGCTGCGCACGTAGGTCGCGCGTGTAGTATGAGAAGCAGCGTGACAATGCATAAAGCCATAAAACAACAGAGTAAAAACGCCAGGAGGTAGTAAGGCTCTGCAGTGACAGAATCATGGAGGTCTGAGTTGGCGAGTGTCGTTGCGCAATCGGCTGGAAGAGCGGTACAGCAACATGGTAGTAGAGTCATGAAGCTGCGAACGGCAAAAACAACCTGCTGGAATAACCGAATAGACGCGTAGTAAAATACTGGAAGAAACGACTTGTAGTGTGGCACATAGTACGGTAACAGAGCACCACACATGTGTATTAGGGGTACAGCGGCACAGCAGTCGGCTAGTTGAACAGAAGAACAGTCAAAGGGTAAATGAGTGTAGAGTTGCAGACAAGTAAAACAACAGGCTTGTAGAGTGGAAACGTGGGGGTGACGTCGAATAGAGAAAAGGCGTAGTGAAAAGCAGGGCGGAGCATGAGCAGCGCAAAAGAGAACATCGAATCCTCAAGTGGCAAGCAATCGACAGGAGTAGGGAAACATTGGGAGGCCGAAAGCACACTTGTAAATTAGCCTGGCGAAAGACCCAACCATGTCAGCTGTAGGTACCGCGATCGCGTGTATAATCTTCAGTGGGGGTTCTTACGGGGCGGCGCGAACTGTGTGAGAGTGTCTCCCTTTGTGGACCACGAGGCGGTGCCTGCTTTGCAGAACGCCATGCAGGGCTCCACAGCTTCGCAGGTCGCTCGAGCCAGGTGGAGTTCCCTGTGGGGCCGCGAAACGCTGTCCTGGTGGGGGAGACGCATGCGAACACCGCCAGTGGGGCCTCAAGTGGAGCTCCCTGTGGGGCGAAAAAAACGCTGTTCTGGGTGAGGGAGACGCATGCGACACCGCCACCGAAGCCTCAGGTGGAGCTCCTTATGGGGCCACGAAACGCTGTCCCGGGTGGGGGGGACGCATGTGAACACCGCCAGTCGGGCCTTAGGTGGAGCTCGATGTGGGGCCGCGAAACGCTGTCTCGGGTGGGGGAGAAGCATACGAACACCGCCAGTGGCACCTGAAGTGGAGCTCCCTGTGGGGCCACGAAACGCTGTGCTGGGCGGGGGAGACTCATGCGAACACCGCCAGAGGGGCCTTGGGTGGAACTCCCTCTGGGGCCACGAAACGCTGTCCTGGGCGGGGGAGACGCATGCGAGCACCGCCAAAGGTGGCCCTAAGTGGAGCTCCCTGTGGGCCCACGAAACGCTGTCCCGGGCGGGGGAAACGCATGCGAACACCGCCAGTGGGGCCGTGGGTGGAGCTCCCTGTGGGGCCACAACGATGCCCAGGGCGGGGGGGACGCATTCGAACACCGCCACAAGCGCCTTAGGTGGAGCTCGATGTGGGGCCGCGAAACGCTGTCCTGGGCGGGGGGGGCGCACGCGAACACCGCCATTGGGGCCTTAGGTGGAGGTCCCTGTGTGGCCACGAAACGCTGTCCTGGGTGAGGGAAACGCATGCGAACATCGCCAATGGGGCCGCAGGTGGAGCTCCCTGTGGGCCCACGAAACGCTGCCCATGGTGGGGGAAACGCATGCGAACACCGCCACAAAAGGCCTTAGGTGGAGCTCGATGTGGGGCCGCGAAACGCTGTACAGGGTAGGGGAGACGCATGCGAACACCGCCATTGGGG